GATGCTAAAATGCCTCCATATGATCAGTGTAGATGGAGGAAGACACACTCAAGACAAGTTAAATGGAGAATATCAAACAGTCAAAATCATAGGGTTAACTCAGATTGGTCAACATGAAGTAATTCCTGCCCCAGGTACTACGAATGTATCTTGCAACATCGTGTTTCATGTGACTCCTTCAGTCACTCTTCTAGGCAAATTTTCTCTGGAGTACAAGTGCCTTGAAAATCTGGGCATCTCACTCTAACTGCAATCTATACAAAAAGCAGGATTAGCAAGGATTAGCAAGAAGTGAGGGAGGAAAGGCATTGACTCTGCGTGGATCTTTCCCAGATAAATAAATTAAAAACATAGTAACACACAATGACTACCACAGCTTGTAAATTAAGAGAGTAACTGATGCATAGTGAGGCACTGATGTATAGCCTGGAGGAGGAACAACTTAATGTGAACTACTAACAATTCATTTAAAAAAAAAAATACTTTGAAGAAAAAAATTGTCTCCAGACCAGCTTATGAATAAAGCATACCAAAAGGCAATTCTGATACTCCGTCAGCAGAACAAAAATGGAATGCTCCCCCAAGTCTAGAATAAAAATGAATTCCTTCTTGTTAAAAATACAACTGCTTTGACATCTCAGGTTAAATGTTCTGGTGCTGCTTGGAGAAGCACAGTATGCCACACCAAAAAATACAGTGCCCCACACAGTTAGCTGAAATTGCTGTAAATACAGTTCAAGTCAGTGCCTGCTCCGAGCTCTATTGTGTAGAATCGTAGAATCATAGAACGGTTTGGGTTGGAAGGGACCTTCAAAATCACCTACCTCCAACTGCCCTGCTGTAAGCAGGGACACCTCCCTCTAGAACAGGTTGCTCACAGCCCCATCCAGACTGGCCTTCCATACTTCCAGGGATGGGGCATCCACAACCTCTCTGGGCAACCTGTTCCAGTGTCTCACCACTCACACAGTAAAGAATTTCTTCCTAATATCTGGTCTAAATCTACCCTCCTCCAGTGTAAGGCCATTTCCACTTGTCCTGTCTCTATATGCCCTTATAAAAAGTCCCTCCCCAGCTTTCCTGTAGGCCTCCTTCAGCTACTGGAAGGCTGCTAGAATGTCCCCTCTGAGCCTTCTCTTCTCCAAGCTGAAGAGCCCCAGATCTCTCAGCCCGTCCCTGTGAGGGAGGAGCAAGGAGAGGGCATTGGCTACACATCAGCTGCTGCTGGAACTGAGCAATCCTGGCCATTAGGTAGCATCTCCATAGTGTACTTCTTTGACCTGTTTTGGAGAAGTCTCAGCTTTATTGGAGCATATTCAGGTGTTTATGAACAGCAGTACCATAACTGTACATAATTGCTCTGAGGTTCTGTTATCTGACCACTCAGATGGGCTACGGGGAAAAGAAAAGAATTTTCTGTCTCATGTTTTTGCCAGTCTTCCTGTCCCCAAGGACTACACTGAAGCCACTGCCATCAAACCTACCCTACAGGAAAAGTTGGTGACTTTGTGGAAGTGTGAGTCATGGCTTCAGCAACTAAAGGTTCACTCCAAGAAAGCATGCAGGCAACAGAGATAAAGGTCCAAAATAGACAGAAAGGTAAATCCAACACCTTCCTCCAAATTGCCCACAGCAACTTGGGTTAAAGCAACGGTGAGATGTCTGGAGTGTCAGTGCAGGTCTCCAGGAATATCTCTGTTTCTGGATGCCACTTCTGAAAGCTATTTTTTATCTGCTTACATCTTAGATGTTCCCTTCTTTCAGAATCCTGCTTGTTTTGCTGGTTTGTTTTGTGAAAGGGTTAAAAGCAGCCCCATTGGAAGACCGTTTCTTGATACATTTTAGATTTGCTTCTTCTAAAGACACGGCTAAACCCTACTTCAATCCTTACTAAAGGTTTGGACGAAACTTCAATTGCTTTCAAAAAACTTACTCAATATAAAGAGTCAGTTTAGCAGTTAATTAACTTGAAGCTTCTTCTTTCCCTTTGGACAGGCACACATTTGGGGAACTGCTTTAACATCCAAGTTGGTACAAGCATGAAAATCCATTGAGGCAATCAGATTGTGCAGGAGCAAGCTTCTAACAGCATGCATCCAGGCAGGTTCATCAGATGGCCAATCTATGCTCACATGTACACACAAGAGCATGATGCAGGTAAATAGCAGAGCCACAAACAAATCACAGAATCATAGAATGACAGAATCATTTCAGTTGGAAGGGACCCTTAAAGGCTATCAAGTCCAACTCCCCTGCAATGAACAGGGACACCTACCGCTCAGTCAGGTCACTCAGAGCCTCATCCAGGCTGACCTTGAGTGTCTCCAAGGATGGGGCATGTGCCACCTCTCTGAGCAACCTGTTCCAGTGCCTCATCAATCTGTCTTACACTCAGAAACAAAAATCAGAGGCTGGTAGGCAGAACTTAACCAGACAACTTCTGGAGTTCAGTTAACAAAGATCTCTGAGAAAAAAAAAACGATTTACTAAAGGCATACCTTAAAAACTGATATCAAATCTTTTTTTTATTTCATTGACTTTCTAATATACTATTAACCTACACTGCCTCTGTTCTGGGAGTTAGATGTAAAAAACTGATTGAATTCTTCAATCATTAAGAAAACATGCAGTACCAGCATTAGCTTGTAACTTTTCAAATCTTGGCAGAGTTTGCGTTCAACCTCTCAACTTCCACTCAACTTTCCTGTCTTGTTTTTAAGTTTGCTTATTTTAAGCACAACTAAAGGAATCTCTCTCCCTCCTCCCCTCTTCAAAACCAGACTTCTGCATCAATCAGTCTCCCCAGTCCCTTTACCACTCTGCTTCATACATTTTTGTACTCTGATTGTAGACAAGGTCTTCAAAAGAAAAACTTAAGAAAGTCTAAATCTGAAGGTTAAATACTGTGCAAAGCAAGAAAAGACAGGACAGGAGAGCACTCAATCATGTATAGTTTCTCATCCTAATGAAAGCATCCTTTGAGAGTCTGCCTAGGTGTTGTCTAGCTTATATGATACAGTGCAGTGCCCATCAGCACTTCTGTTTGGAAGCTCACTCCTTAGAAATCACCAACAGGCTCATTACACATAAATCAGAAGAAGTGTTTCAGACATGCCTGGGAATCTGGGGATGCTACATGGAGAGGGAGTTTTGTCTGCTCTGTGGAAAAGGGGGTAGGCTTGGCTTCCTATCCTTGTGCATTCAATCAAGTGAATTGCACAACCATACTGCTTTTCTCTATTTAATGTAATGTTTCCTGAAATGTCACTATTGAGTAGTACAAGTTACGGTTACTGTGGGGGAAAGTACCCCAGGCTAATAATGGAAAGCAAGCTATCTAAGGGACAAGGGAAGACAGGAAGGTGTTCCTTCAATTAGATCAAGAAAATATTTATATGTATTTCAAGCATACTTTTGAGCCTACAACACCAAATGAAAGGTAGCTTCTTGCATCTTGATGGAATCCCATTGATTTTAGAAGTCTATTCCTTGTAAAATACCATCTTGTACTAATCCAGGTTTTGCAGATCTAGACCTTAAAAATTTAATGAATAGCTGGATGCTATTCATTAATAATATTTTAAAACTCTCACCTACACTGAAGAACAGACAAAATAAGAATACTTGGAGAGACAAATCATATCCACAGTGGCTCTGAAGGTGCCTCATCTTATCACAGACTGAGCAAACTACTCAGGATCCCGTTTTTTTTAATGTGATTTCCAAATCAGAAATTTTTATAGAGGGAGACAAAATCATTAGTAAATCCTCAAACAGGGTCAGGACTTCAGATTCTGAAGTAGTCTTTCAAAAGACAAAGATTAAGATCAAGGTAAAATCTATACTGGCCCATTTTTGAAACTTATGTGTGAAAGATATGGTCTCAGAGTCAGCCAGTTCACAGATCAGTTTAATCTGTGGCCTCTATCTTGAGGCCTTAAAAACCTGCTGAGGCTAATGGGAGTAATCCAATTGCATTAGCACACCTCAGAGCAGTGCATTCACCTCAGATCCCAAAGGCAGAAATCTTTCTTGCCCTCACCTTATCTGCAGAAATCAAATGCAGCACCAGTGAAAACAGACAGAGGTGTATGTAGCTGGGGAGCATCTCTAATTCAAAACATTGTTTGTGTGACACCCACCTGGGAGAGTTACTATTTGAAATGGAGTGGTGATGTCTACAACCTCCTTTACTATGGAAATGCTGAATACAGCAGAAAACAAAACAAAACAAAACAAAAAACACCAAACACTATTATTCATTGGAATCAATTCACTGCACTAAGAAAGGAGAAGGTGATTCCTTCTAAATCTTCTCTACTTCAGTGCAAGGAAGCTGTTTTTTAATCATCAGGGATGGTTGTGACATTGAAATAGAGACTGTTCACTGGATTACCATAAAAAAAACTTGACAATTAATTACCTGAACTCCATATAGCCAAAAATAATAACACTTAGAACCAGGCTGTACTACCTCTTTTGAGAATGGACATCTGTGTGCTCTGCTAGTCACAAAGAATTAGGATCTCCAAGACAAAGAATTTAATATATTGCTCTTTGTATTCTTCAAGTCTCTGCCTGTAGCTCTGTTAAGCACTCAGGGTTTTTATTCAGTAAACTACATTATTAGGGCCACTTCCAGCTACAGTTACTGTCAACAAACAGCAGCTGGGGCAAACACGCTTCTACTTAAGCATGAATCCCAGATAGGAAAACACAAAAAAGCACTGTAGTAAAATCACAGAAATTGCTATTAGTCATTCAAAATGGAAAATAATCAGTTCCCACAATATTTTTCTCTTTGTGTCCAAGTCATCTTGGAAATACAAGATTCTCTCCTATAAAAACATGCATCAACAGCCCATTTGGTGTTATCTTTAACACAGAAATTATGGAAGTGGTTGTCTTTGGCCAGCTCCATTCTTTCTCTTCGTCACTCACCCTTGTTCAGCAGATAACATGAATGTGTGTACTTCTTCCCACCATTTGCCACCCTTCAGGTGTCACCACTACAGCTTGCACAACCCATAAGCACAGGAGACAACTTCTGCATTGTATGGACTATCCGTAATGCAAAGCAGTACATTCAGAGGATAACAAAGATGGCATTGAATATTTGACTGCTCAAAAACAACGGTTCTGGTCATTTTGAACTTATGTAGCAGGTAATTTACCATGTTTCAAAACCATTTACTGTTCAACTAAGAAAGCAGAGACATTATTATTATTATTATTATTATTATTATTATTATTATTATTATTACTATTGCTGCAAATTTTACAGAACCAGGGCTTCCATTGTGGTTGGCTTTTTTTGTTGTTGTTTTTGTTTTTTCATTTAAAATTGAAAGAAACTAATATTGACACTACATACAGAAGTCCAATGTTATTTTAGTTGACAGTACTTCTGTGAGGCTGAAAAGGAGTAAGGCTGTGTTTTGTTTCCTAGGTATCTCCTCTGTGTACCAGTCTCCCTTGGTACATTCTTATTCTCTATCTCATGTGATCTCTTTGCTATTGAAACATCCTCTGAATCCATACATTTGAGGGAATATAAACATTACTCCCTTCAGCAAATTTCATTTATATGTGCAAGAAAGATTCCAACTACGAACTTAAAGCTTTTGCATTACTGTTGGTGGGAGTTTTCAGAGGCACTAGCTGTATCAAAAAAAAAACAGGTCTTCACCGGGTGATTAGATTTGTCTTCTTAATGGCAAAAAAATAAAACTCCCAATTTTGATGTCAGGTGAAGACAGATTGCTGTCCAAGTTTGTTGGTTTGTCTGAACTGGAATCAACTTCAATGTGTTAACGAGAGATAATTCCTGAGTAAGAATGAGTAAATTTTGTTTAGTCAGTGCCTTCCTCACCAGGGTATGTTTTATAGCCAAACAGAGTGCCTTCAGCTTGCTTTAAAAACAAAGTCCTAGTCAAGCCTGAGCTGAAGATTTCTCGAATCAGTGTGTTGTTTGGAGCTAAGTGACATTTCACCTCTATTTTGACCACTGATTAATAGAGTGTGTTTATGCCCCTTCCCTCTTGTTTGTTGGATGAAAACTCTGACCTTCTGAACAAGATGGGAAAACAGTTCCATCAGGGACTGAGTAGTACTGTAGAAACTAAAATGTGTGTGTGTGAGAGAGAGAGTGTGTGTGAGTGGGAGAAAATGCTCTCTTCTGTTTCCTGCCGAGTTGATGGTGAGGCTGGAGGAGACCCAATTCCTCCAAGGGAGTTTATTTAAACTGTGATACTAAAGTTATTCTGAAAAGACAAATGGCCCCTCTGACAGGACTCAGCTGCTTTATTGACTGCTGCTACAAATTTTGCTCTTGATTTAAACCCTCAGTCCAAAGAGTACCTTGAGTGAAGAACCTGGGCTTGGGGTGCCGTTAGAAATTGGGAAAAAATTTAGGGTGAAGGGAACTGACATCAATGTGAAGTGTGTCTTCTCCAAATGGAATAAGCACTTTATTTTAGTGGTGCCTCATGGTTAAGATTACGGCATCAGAATGGATTTTGCAGTACGGAGATGGCAGAATGAGTCACTTGGTCTGAGACACAGTTGACAGGTATATGGGCCTTCAGTCAGTGTCTTTGTTCCTCATATTCACACCCCATTTCAAGAAGCTGTGCTCTTGCCCACACCACCATGCCCTCAGCAGTCTTGGCCCATATCCCTGAAGGAGGCTCAAACATTGGCTGCATAACTGTCGTGGCAGCAGCCACGCTCAGGACTGTGCTACCACCTAAAGACTGTGGATGGGGATATGCCAGTGCAGCACTTTTGCCCTGACATGGCTGTGTTTGCTAACAAAGATTCAACCTAGCAGATGCCAGGTAGGATGACTAATATACAAGATACATGGGGAAAGTGGCCTCAAAAAAGCTGTTTAATCTTATTTGCAGGGGAAGTTCAGGTGCTCTAAACTTCCATATGAACTGACACATAGCCTGTGTCCCTCCCAAATGTTGAATCCCTAGCAAGTTCACATATATATATAACTTGCAAGGTCAGAGATGAATAAAACCTTCAGTTCCCAGAAGCTCCCCAGAAAAGAGGAACAGCAATGTGGACAGCCAAAATAAGTTTCCTGCCAAGATGGGGCCATGACTTCAACCATGTTAGAAGCTGCAGGGCCTGCTCAGGAAAAACACCTCATACTGCTCAGTTTCAGCTGGATCCAAGGCCTTCAACCAAACAGTACAACTATCCCATGACAAAAACTAAGGAGAAACTAGACGAACTCACTTGAAGTTCCCATACAAATACATATTTGACTCTGACGCATACTTCCACTCAGTTTTCACTTCCCAGAAAGACATCATGAAACCTCCCCGTGGTCGTGGCAGTGGACCCCACTGAGGTGGTGAGCATCTGAACGACGGTGATGTAAAAGGGCTGGAAGTTTCCCGATGAGTTTTCAGGGTAAAAAATGCAATACAGCCTTGCATACCAACAGAATCAATTTAGAGGTAGGGGATATGCAAAAATATACCAAAAATAGTATTTTCTGCTGAGGATCAGATTGTATCATAAAATGATTTTTTTTTTTTCCCTGAAAATTATTCAGAATTAAAAAATCAACCACAAGAAGGATTATATTGTGGACATTTCTTTCCTTTGTCCTTTAAATTTCTGTGAGAACAGAACAGACCAAGAGGTTGCTCAGGATTGTCTGGCAGATGAAGTGAGCAGTCAAGCTGAGGATAACGATAAGGTAGACACCAAGCTAAAGAAAAGTTTTAATATACCAAATTTTTGTGATATATATATATATGTTTTAAGCACCAAGGAAAAAGAGTTTTATAAGGTAAATATTTACAAATAAGGTGGTAACTCAGAGAGGTTTGCATACTCCGAATACTGCAACTTCTGTCCTGAATGAATATTGTCATCAGGTGGAAAACTGCATTAGCAAGGGTCAGAGGAAATCCAGGACAGAGGTCTGTGTCCTTGAGGTGATCCCAGAGCGCCTGAGAATTTATTTGGGTTCACCAGACCTGACTGCTGTCCAACCTATTTCCTAGGAAAATGCTGGTCAGCTGCTCAGCAAAAACATATGAGAAACTCACCATAAAAAAAATGAAAGTGGGTATCATGTCCTGGTCATGGCATAGCTAAAGTCCCATAAGTTGAAAAACCTTTTCTTAGCATTACTGGAAACTAATGTTACTGCTTAATTGGTAGTACGGTGACATTTCTGAATTCAGTCAGGTTGAGTAAAGTGGTTTCAAATCCTTCATTAATTCCTTCTTGCTGTCCCCATCCTCTCCATATACAGGCTCATTAGGATCATTCTTTCACAAAGGGAAGAAGAGAACTTAGAGGGCGGAGTAAGAGAAATTAGTAGCCAGTTGTCCTTTTGAACACAGACTGCAAAATATTAGCCTCCTTTTTCAACAAGAGACAAGAGGAAATACCAAGGAAAAGCAGTTAAAGGTCACAAAATGGCACATTTTTTGTGTACTTTAGTAGAAATATGTGAAAACAACTGTAAAGAATGGATAAATCATGTTTTAACTTCGGACTGAGCTCAGAATTTTCAACAAGAAAATCTACCTTCCCTATTTATAGCTGATTTTGTCACAACCATACTGTATGCTACTGCCATTTATTAGCTGACAATGGTTTTGATTAATCAGTGTGAAAGTCATCCTCTTAATAGAGAAGTCACAATGAGACATAAGACAAGATCATCCCTTGCGTTCCTTGTCCCTTTTTCCTCGGGATACTTCACCTCCTGTCCTATTAGAAATGTCAATGTTTATGTGCCCACATGCTGAGAGAATAAAACAGCAGCATGCCAGTGGAAAGTTTGTGTTCATGTAGACAGTATTACAGCGCTGATGGCCTCCACAGAAGATAAGGGCACATATTTTGACAAACAATTACTCATCTGCCATCAGAGCATGAAACAATAGAGAATTATTATATATTAGGTATGGCAAAGAAGCTTTTAGACTGTTTCCAGACAAAGGCCTAATCACATGTGACTTCAGTTTATTCTCAAATATTACTGGCACAGTTCGTGTTAAACTATTATTAAACTCAAGTTTATTAAACAAAAGTTTCATGTGCATACATTCCTGTGCCAGTAATACTTGGGGGAAAAATAGAGATGAGCTCGGCAAAGTGGTAGAAAAACCTCTGTTATTAATAAGCACATTAACTGTAAAGGCAATGCATTTGGAGCACACCTTTAACACACACAAATTTAGGTACTCTTCTTTTTCACTATGGATTTCCAGTATTATTAAAAGATTTAATAAGCATAACCATATGCAGAAAGATATCACCTTGCTCTCCAATGTGAATATTTAAGGAATGTGAAGCCATGAGCAGGCTCATGAGCAAGTCTAACTCCCTCCATTGGAAGTGCTTGGTGAAGCCTCAAAAATCTGATTAGGAGAATGGGCCCAGAAAAGTGCTCATATTTTAATCCAAAGCCAAATTTCATGTCAAATATTTTCACAGTTATGTGTTGCTTTACATTTCTGATGACACTACCCTCTTTTTTTTTTTTTTTTTTTTTAATATAATGAGAAATGAATATTAAATTTGAACGCGCTGCTGGAAAATAGGCATGGACTCTCAGCTAAAATTCATGGTAAAAAAACCATCCTTCATTATGGTTATATATCTGTACCCCTTCAACCAGCATAAAATATATAATCATCTGATGCTGACTGAATGCAAATTTCCACCAACGATCACAGACTGCTCGTTGTTTGCAAATGACTTATTATCAAAGAGTTCCACAAACAAACTCAACAACCCTCAATATTGGGAAAAAAAACACCTCTCTCTTTTCACAAACATTTCACAGCAGGGAATATCAATCTTATCAAATGCGTTATCTCAAATAATTTGCTCGGATACATTGAGGTGTTTTCAGATTATGAAAACCGAGCAGTATGATTTCCATACCAGGTTTTCTGCCTCTGTGCTCAAGATGAGTACAGAGGTCTCAACCAAAACAAGATGCATTAGCTGAGTGAGACTAACAGGCCGCCACCAGAAGAAGGCAACAAGAAGACCAGAAGACTCCAACAAGAAGGCACCAACCTTCTTACAGCAGGATTCTGACTTTGGTTCCTAGTAACTTCAGAAGACTCCACTTCATCATAGAAATGTCTGTATGTTTATTTTATATCATTTCTTACAGACTAGCTTTTCAACAAAGTATTGTCTGTGTATAGAATTGTATCCATTAAACTAGAGATTTATTGTATGCATCAAAGAAAAGTAAATAACTGTAAAGTGCATTAAATTTCTAAGTAATGATTGCATACACTAAACCCATGATGGCTGATATGGTTGTTTCATGTTTGCAGACCCAGACTGATGAATCCTGCTGTAATTCTGCCTTGTCATGCACTCGTGAAATGGGTTGGATGTCCTTGAGGGCCAAGCCACGTCCTTGGCAAGGTGGGAAGAGGGAACGTTTTCCACCACAGTGGCAGAAGGGTTAAGATTTCCATGCCTGTGTACTATCAACAGTGTCATTAACTTGTTTTCATTTCTTTCTTGTTTTCATTCCCTTCTAATGCTGTTGTTCATTTTCAGATTCCATTTTTAATATTTTTAATTCAGTTTTAATATCCTCCACAGGAATTTAAAAACAATCTACTCTTTAAAACTTAATTGTAGCGTTTGTTATTCCATAAAAATACATTTTAAATTTTTGATCCAATTTTATGAAGTAATTGGATATTAAATGAATAACGAGAACAACAAGACCCTTATTAACTTTTTAGTCATTAAACTGACTTAACATTTTAGAAAGAACAATAACTTTTCCAATAACGGTCCCAAGCAGCGTTTATATTGCAATGCACTAAACCAAATGTATAAAAAGATGCTGTCTTTCTTGGATGGTGGAATGGAAATTTGTCATTATTTACATTTTCCCCACGCAGAACCAAGTGCCTGCAGTTCTCTCCAAGAAGGGACAGTGCCCCTCCTGCTGCAAGCAACTCAACAACCCTTCAAGCATTAAGGAGAAGCCCCGCTCAGCAGAGATGCCAGCTGCTCTCCATGCTGAGCCTCTTGTTCCTGAGCAGGCAGATGGTGCAAGGCCCATCACTCTGTGTGCACTCAGCTCAGGGCACAGCTGGAAAATCCCACCTCCTGGCCATTTCCCTGTCCAGGTGAAGACACCATAGAAGTTCTGGATACATTCCATCACTGACTGGGAAGCATACCGTTGGGTAAAGGGCAGAGCAACCTGCTGTAGCTGTTGGTGTCTCTGTTCATCGCAGGGTGGTTGGACTAGATGACCTTTAAGGTCATCTTCCAGCTCAAACAGTTCCATGATTCTGTGATTCTGAGCCCTGCCTAGGAGCAGCTCACACACAGCACTCCATGCAGATGGAGAAGTTCCCAGAGATGGGACTTAGGAACAGATGGGTGTGTGATTAAGTCCAGCCCTTACTATTGGCCCAAGTACCCCTTTGGCACCTCATGTTGCTTTACAACTTCCTCAAGCCTCTCAGTGCCTTGTCCCGACCACCTAATACTCTTTCCATACATTCCAAAATGCAGCTGAAATCTGGACAGCGAGAAACCTGAGCAGTGCTGTGGAGCCCCCAGTTATTCACAACACCTCGCAATACAACCTAAGTGGGCGCTCCAGAAAGCACTGATTTAACTTTCCTGTCTCCCAGTCAGCTGGAAATCTATCAGTGTAAAATATCTTCTGTCTGAGTAAAAGCTGTTTCCAGCTTTCTGAGCAGCCTAGGAGAACTGAGCCATGGCCTGGCTTCTCATCCCAGTTCTCCTCACTCAAACTGCACATCCAGCTCAAGAAGGAGGCTTTAGATGTGTGCTAGCCCATAATCGTGCCAGCAGTGTCTTTGCAGTCACGGAGGACTTTATGCTAAATGCTTCTCTCCCACAGTTCTAAAATAGTAACTAACACAGCAAGCAACAAATGACTACGGGGCTTCTCGAGCAGCAGAGTGCACACTGGTCCTGTCTCAATGGAAAAAACAAAAAAAAGAAGAAGAATTTTGCCAAAGGTTTGAATGGGAGAAAGAGCTTGTGGCTGACCACACAGCAAAGGGCTTTATTTATTTATTTATTTATTTAATGTCAAGTAAATGCAATTTATAAGCCGTTGCCCGCAGAGTTTTCTATTCAAAAGTAGGTGTAGTAGGTCGAAAATCAAGAGACCAAAAGGCACAGGTGACACAATCTGAGCACAGGACCATTGTGTTGGGCCCAGCCCCGCTGCCCCAGCCACAACACTGTGAGGAAGTGCCACACAAACAGAGGAAGCAGAATTCGGGCCGAGAAGGATTTAGTAACCGCATTACTACGCTCTCAGCACTGATGCCTGCAAAAGATAAAACCTGGGAAAAGACCTCGGGTTCCTACTCCTTATTGTTGCTACCGGGGATTTAGCTTGTATGTCTGAACTGTGTACATATTTCACTGGTCTAGGTGGGGCACCGCCAGCATATTTGTACGGGCTGGGACAGTGACAGGACTGCTGATGTTTACAATAACAGGTTAGAGGGACTTTGCCAAAGCATTCTTAGTTTTTAAAATGATCAGGGCGACCTAGCCCCCTTCCCCCTCTCCATTGTTACTTCATCTGCGGGATTTACGGAAGAAGGAAATGGTAAATTACAAGAAAAAAAAATAGTATTTATCTTGCCAGGACATGTTGCTTTGAACTCGGATGATATTAACATATCAATCAGATTCAGTGATACGTTAAACAAGGTTGTCCCTGGTTTATGGTTCACTGAGTCTGGGAGCTGAACTATGGCTTTGTATTCCTCTGTCTGAATCCTTCCCCAGAGCATACCACATTGGTAGCCAGCACCAGGAGGGATTTGTTTTGTCTTGTTGACCCAAAATGAAGCCCATTTCCATTGAACTTCCAGTGAATATTTGCCCAGGTAGGTATGTTTCAAAACAGTGATAATGGCTGAAAATCCTTGGAGGAAGAAATCTAAGACTAAAGAACACAATCAGAAGCTACAAGCGCACTGTTTAGAGTAGTCTTGTGAGAGGAAATATTTCAGATGACATTTCCAGTTCCCAATCAAAGCTTGGCCAATTAGATGGAAAATTAATTTAGAAAGGAAGCATTAATTAGATTTTTATATACATGTTAACTCCAAAATTTCACGAGGCTTCAAATATTTGCCTGCTTCGCTCAGCCATTTCCTGATTATGGAATATCCATTATTTTACAGAAACTCTTCAGGCTGGGGACAGCTTAATTTCACTACATGGCTTCCTCTGGGGATGGCTAGGAACTTGTTTCTTGAGTGTTAAATGGCAGCACTGAGCTGGGTAGTGATTTGAACTGGTCTGCACTGGATTTACCATGCTAAGCAGCACACCGATCCACTGGCTACAAAGAATTTTAAAAAAAAAGACGAGAGAAAGAGAGAGCAAATCAAGCAATTCCCACAGGTGGTAGCCTGGAAAAAAATCTTACCGTCTTCTTTCTTTTCTCTGCTAGGAAATGGCACAGACAACAAAATGAAGAAATACATCTAAAGAATCTTTAACTTCATTTGTTTCTGTTTGCAAAATGATACTCCTCCGTTTTATAAGCCAACAGTGAGAACAGATACTGCTAAATAAATTGCATAGTAACCAAATAACTAATTTAATAAACAATAACAACGCTCACAAATAAAGTTAATCCTCAGAGCTTTAAACCAATACATAAATTGAACTCACAAGTGTGATCCTTTTCTGCGAGCTACAGTAAAATCTGAAGGGGGTCGTAACCGTACCATTTACTCTAGACAAGTTGCACGTGCATTGCTGTTTGGAAAATGGAATCAGTTGTTGGAAAAGTACTTGTACTTACTGCACACAGAAACACTCTACAGTTCATCAGCAGACAGACCCCATCAGGCTCACTATCCACTTTTTATGCAATTAGGTTTTACACTGACAATGTATTACAAAATTATTAGAAAGGGAGCTGGAGTTAAAAATTAAGATGACGGAAGTTCAAAGCTTGGGATCACAGTTCAGCAAAAGCTCTCTGGAAGTGAAAAAAGAGGAAAACCCCAAACAATCTGATTTAAGAAAACAAGTTACTGAAGAAAATGAAGTCCAGTTTCCTGCAGCTTTCTACCTTGTAGTTGAACTATCCTAAACCTAATAAGATTTAAACTCTGATTGAAATTCTTCCTGTGGTTGAGGCCACTATCCGCTCTTATTCCCTCAGATGTGGATTTTCTGGTGGAAGTAGTCATGTTTTGTTCCTAACAATTTTTTTCACTCAGCTGAAAAATAAAGCAGGCCTCTCCGCTCTTTTCAGGTACTACTTTTCACCAAGCAAGGAATAAGGTAATGTGTTGGGATTTTTTCACTAAATAGATCGACATTAGTCTGAAAATTCAAAAGTTTTGGAGGAGTGAAAGCACCATAATAATACACACTTCTGAAGGAAAGCACATTAGAAGTCCAAGGATCTTGTGTGCATTTGCTCCTGTCTCTAAGTTTTCCCTCATCTGCAGATTTGTATATGAGATGCTACGTGTATCATCAAGGTGCATGTTCTTTTTATAAGTAAGAACGACTGTGGGGAATAGAAACCCAGCACAGTCATGCCAAAAGAGGAGCTCACAGTAGACAAGCTACTTTAAGCAGGTATAGCTGAAGCAGAAAATAAATGCTACAATAAACAAATTTCAATTGTAGCGTCTTCAGGGAGTCTCTCATGTTTTCTGTGAATTTTCTTTCTTTAAGAAAAGAGCAAGAGAAGTGACAATGTCTAAAAGGATACAGGAGGACGCATCTTCTGCTTCAGTTTTCCCTTATGTCTGTATTCTAGAAGACTGACAGTACTTCAGCATTTCTGTCAGAAAAAAAATGCCTCCTCGCTCAGCCTTTGCCTGAAATGCAGTTTCATCCACTACTGAAATGAGACAAACAGCCATATTACTTTCAAAAAGTGCTTTATAAAACATCCACACAGCAGTGGTAAAGGCTGTACAGCCAAAATTTGCTGTTTGTGTTGAGTGTAAATGAGGCCTCTAAGAACTTCCAGGACAAGATAAGGCAATGCCAACTCCTATTTTCCTACACTGACAATAATTTAGTGTATGCTTTAAAAATTAAAGGTATCTAATGAATTCAAAAATGTATTTTATCTGGTGAGACAAACTTCTACAATGGGGAAGGATTACCAGACTTGTAAGAATTCCTCTTCGCCACAGGAGATTCCACAACTAAATGAGATTAACAAATTTTGGCTATGTTCCTCAGGGAAAAAAAAAAAAAAAGTACTAGAGTTCAAATATATTGCAACTACAGTTTACCTCAGTCAGTAACACCAATTATCTTCCATAATCTTTGTTTCATTTTTTTTCATAGGGAGGCCATTTCTTGAACCTTTGGCTCATGGCATCTGGCTGAGAATTAGGAATATATTTGCAGGCTCTTAAGATGAAACTTCATCAGAACAAGGGACATTTTTGGAAACTTTAAGTCAGAATTAGCTTACCCAAGGATGCAGAGGTAGCTCAGAAGAAACAAAAAGCTCCAGTCATCAGCTCAACTCAGCACTTTTCCAGCTATCTTTCTTTAGGAAGAGGTTTCGAAAGAGTTAAGGAAAGTCTGCTCTTGGCAAATTTGAAGTCCAAGGTCTCAAAGACAGACTTTTTTCCTGACTGGGAGAAGCAGCTGAACTTAGATATCCCATCCTATCCTCTCTCCAGGGAGTCTCAGACAGAACTCAACTTTCTATGTAGAAGCGTCAAAAGATCCTTTCTGAGATAACCACAACTGATGTCTGCAAAGAATGTAAAACAAAGAAGACCAAATGGGATCTATTAAGTATCACCTGCTTAATATCTAGTTGGCCCCACTGCCCCCCAGAAGGGTCCTGAAGAAAAATTAAAAGCAATTCATAATGTTACGTTGGGGTTTTGAAACCAGTCATCGGAAATGGACACCTCTGTTCTTCATGCGTTCTTCTGCAAAGAATGAGCCAGCCTCCACAGGACATACTACATCCCATCTGGCGGGAAGCCCCTGTCTCCTTCCCGCTGCTTGATCCATCTGGACTACACAGGCCTTGACAAGAATGAATCAGCACAACATTTCCATGTAATTTAACCGAGATTTTAATTATCAGCCAAATCAAACAGCAGAGGGCTCAGGCAACATCCAATCTGCTCAGGAATTCACCACCTGCCTGGTTCAAAAAGTATAAGCAAAACCACATTGTTTTATATGTTTCAGAAGAGAAGAGAGATGAAAACCAGTAAGAATTTGATTGCTTTTGCTTGCAGCATGCATTAAAAATCTGTAGCAATATTTGAACAGAACTACTCTGGCAAACTGCAGCTTTTTGGTAGTTCAGACTGCAACTTTGGGTCCATCCCCTGCATTTTCCCAGAGATCAGTTGGATATAAGGTCAATTTGTTCTGAGAATAAAAACCATTCTGTATAGCTAAGGACCCTGTGGACAAAAATCATGTAAATGTCACGGACACAGAGAAAAAGAGAAAAATTATTGTAACACAGACAACTTATTTCAAATATTTTGTAACTTCGTAGCGCTGGACTTGCATGAAAAATAATGTAGTTGTTAATTCCCTTAAAAAATAAAAAAAAATAAAAAAAGATTGAGACAGAACTGTAAGGCTTCATGGGTAGTCAACAAGTCCCAAAAACTTAGATTCACAGCACAGCCTACGATTGCCCTAATCTACTTTAGCATTTGGTGATACAGTGGAAGACTATTGTCTGCCCAGCCATGGAAGGGATATGAAAGAGATCTTCACTGAGTACATTTCAAAGTTATTTGTTAGACAGCAAATGAAAGATGAAAGTTGGAAAGCACAATTCCATCACAGAAGAAAAATGTATTTTCTTGCTGGAAACTCTGCTGGTCTTGTTCTCCCTGGCTTCTCTAGCCATCCCCACATCTGTTCCTACTTACTCTGCCCCCATTTTCTCACTGGGAAGCATCAGACAATCTTACTGCAGGCACAAGTAGCCGTTCCAAGTGTCTTCAAGGGAATACATTCTTAGTCATGCTTGTGTTCTACTGGGTGTCCTTATGTTACAGGCGAGTCCAGGCCCACATGCGTCCCAGGACTCCACTCAGCAAAATGCAGGAGACCTCTCTGTACAGAAGTGCCTAACTCTCACGTACACATTTAACTGTGAGAACTTGTTCCACTCAAGTTCCACTCAAGCTAGAGGAACTGCGGTGGTTGTCACTGTCTTGTCCTAATCCAGGCCTGAGACCTGCATGTAGCACTTGCCTTTGACATCAGTGGCCAAAAGGTGTATTAATTATAGAGCAAAGAGAAAAAGTATGGTGGCAAGACTTACTTCTCTCAATCTTTTTCAAGATTATTTAATTAGGAATTGTATTCCTCACTCTGTTAAGCTCTCAAAATTCAGTTTAAGAGATAGCCAAGCTGTTTCCAGAGACTCTTGCTGGGTCTTACGCATGCCCTGGCTCCATCTGTGCTAACAGTCCCCTTAGGCACGGTTGGTCATGAAAACCTGTTCCTCTCCTTGCCCTTGGCCCTCTAGCTGGCTCAGGTGTCCTTTGCAGAGAAAACAGAACACAACCACTCCGAGGTGAAAAAAATGCCTGAAAATGCAACCAACGCCCATATTTGCGTATTGCTTGTGGGTAAATGATTGTGATCCATGGTAGGAGTAGAGAGCTGGCATGGGCAGGAGAACAACATCATAAGACCAATAGGTTGCTACGCAAAATAATGACTTAATAGGTAGTGCCTGTAAGCATCTGTTGTATTAATTAATTACAATTAGCCTGCTTCAACTATTAGGAAGGTTTTCACTCTGTTAGAAAGAACAAGTATTCGGTGTGCAATAAAGCCACCAAATGTAGAAAATCACAGCGTAGAAAATCATAGATCTGAAAGAGAAGAGTGTTAGTGTTAGCTCTTCTTCTTTGGAAGAAAAAGAACTGGCAGGATGGGATGTTCCCACTCAGAGAACATGCGTGCTCAGGCAAGCTGAAGGACTGTGTAAAGCAGGCAGGTGGGGAGGGATGAGTAAGTCCCATCCATTCTGAGATAAAACGAAGCTGGTTTTGTTTTTTTGGTTTTGTTTTGTTTTGTTTTGTGTTTTTTTTTTTTTAATTATTATTATTATTTTACATGGGATAGTCTAATGTGGAAACTGCCAGTCCTTCTGCTCTCACTACTACTTTGATGTTCATTTGCTTCAATTTTTTTCTCCTGTGATGAACAGCAGAGATTTACAGGGAGTATTTGCAAGCTCAGCAGCAAAACAGAAAGAACTGGGGATTTGTTACTCAAAATGAATCCTTGATAAGTATCATCTGCAATCATTCCCTAGCTTCACTGTCACAAGTTGAAGGGCAGCACAGAGAGTGCAACGGCTACAGCTATAACAACACATATAATACATACATATAATACATATATGCATACATGCTACATAAATATATATGCATGCTACATGTATTACAGCAAAATATCGCCACGCTGGAATCCTTCCTGCAGACTCAGTCCCCAACTCAGAGCGGGTCCCCCCCTGGCCTGAGGCAGGAGCCCGCAGGTTGCACTAGGTGGCACTGGAGGCACTGCGTTTTGGGGGGCACCGCGGTCACTCAATGCTTCCAGCGCCATCTGGTGGTGCTTTGTTTTCGAGACAGCATTTGCTCTTCCTCAAGAAGAGTGATCTAAGCAGGACAAACCA